TTTTTCTCATTTGCAGAACATTTTACATGCTGCAAAGGTTTGTCAGGTACGTTTTCTCACTCGATTTCATTTACTTGGAGAAACTGGTAGGGCAGATATTATGATCCCCAAGGTACAGGTGGGGTCACTTGTTGAAGGTCACACAGAAAGAGGTTAAACTGGTTTCGCTTTCTAGGGGGTGCCCTTTCTACTGTGCTCTGCTGCTTAAAAAATTAATGAACCATGCATTCAGAACAACTGAGAACACACTGCTTCAAACTGTTTTCCTCCACTGGGAGAGAGTTAATTCTTCACTTTTATCATCCTTAGGAATAAAACCCCTAGCAAAAAGGGCAACTCACACAGATGGCACAAGCAGAGGCTGTTTAAGTCATTTTAGAATCACAAGCTCTTAGGGGCATCCTGGAAGCTCTTCTCCTCCCCTCCATTCTAACACAATCTACTACAGGACAAATGCAAAACTTAGAGGGTATTTACACAACAAAGAAAAAAGTACTAATAAAGCTGACTGTGTATGTGTGTTTTAAAATTATTATGACATACAGAGTCAGTCTATATTTGTGTACAAACATTCATTCATGGCTACAAAACCAAACAGTTGTCAGTTATACCCTGATTTTCAAACGATTTACACATACTGTCTTCCTAGAATTAACTTGAATTGGGTGGTAAATTCTGTCTTAGTCATTGCCATGGTATAAAAATCCCAGACCCGGACATTATTTTTTACCACACTACAAACTTGTTTTAAATTGCAGTCTCCAACTTTACAAAAGCAAGTGTTAGCACATATTTAATCTCATAATGACAATTATAAAATAATCATGAAATCCGAAGTCACCAGTATTTGTTCAAAGTATCATGATGAGGCTTATGGAAACACAGTAGAAGTATGCCAGCACCATGGAAGCCAACAGAAATGGAAGTTGCATGGATAAAAAAAGAATTTGCCTATTTGAAATAGTCTTTTACTAATATCGGGCCTGCAACTTGGTATATTTGGATAAGTGATGATGATCTGGTTTTACAAACACAGATTATTCAAATAGAAAGTAGGCAGAAGTCTGGTGTCATCCTAGAAGGTCAGAGTTTTAGGCCTTTGGAACAAAAAAGAATAAAAAGAAAAGGAAGAAAGCTCTATGGGCCAGAGAGATGAACAATACAGCAATGCAGAAGTCATTGCAACATTATTTATCTCTTTTTTTTCTGAGTGTGATTTCTAATCTTCAAGAGTTTGGTTTTTTTTTTTTTTTAATGATGTTAAAAGTTATAAACCCAAAACCTTTTCCTTTTTTTTATATCTTCCTTAGAATGTACACACTGAAAGGCCAGGCTTTGTTATTGTGTGCTCTTTAATCCCAACTTGGGTTTTAACATTCTATAAATTATAAGCTCTTAATAAAATGTTGATGTTTCATGAGTAAATCCAACTAACTCATGGTTGAGTTCAATAAAATAAGCATTTCCTGAATCTCCCTTATGCACAAGGCATTGGACCAAGTGCTACGGAGACTACAGAGGTGATAAACAAGCACATGGAAAAAAACACTTATGAAACTTACTAATTCCTCCTTTTTGCTTATCTGTTAAGACACTCAAAGCTAAATTTGTTGTTCAATTGCAATAAGTATCTTCACATTAGATTTTCTGTACCAATTCTCTTTAATTACAATGACTCATTATTTTGTCCTTTTTAGAATGGGGGGATATGTAACCTATTAAATAAATAAATCACTCTAATTCAGAATAAAATGAGTTAAGTATCACAAGAAAAATAGCAACGGAGTGCACTAAGGACTCATAGGAAGAAGGATTGTATGGGAGAAGAAGGCAGGAGGTGAATTTTCCAAGAAAAGGTCATTCTAGGCTAAGGGGACAAATGAGCAAAGGAACAGAGATGGGAATGTGTAAGATGCTTGAGAGAAAACAGTTCAGATACAAGAATGTTGAAATAGGAGATGGGTCGTTTCCTTCGGTTACTCTAGACAGAAATGAAAAATTGACTCTTCTTTACTAAGAATCATACTGGTGTGTTGATCACATACGTGCATCTACCAGTAAGTAGGATGACAAACAGTATGTTCATGTCACTCACTAGTGAGATCAGGGGCTAGGGATGACATGACCCTAAAATTTCAGCACAGACACACAAGCAACAATAAATCATGAAGAATGAATGAATGAATTTCACCTAGTGGGCTCTCCATAAATGCTTTACGATAGTGGTCATTCAGGTCACTCAGGCTCTGGGGCATTTTTGTTTTATGAATATTTAAGATATTATAATCCCCACCCCCACCATATTGCCTGTGTTCTCTATTGAGCTCAAAGCAATTTGTTCTTTGGGTGCCAGGATTTGTTCGTTAAAGAGGGGAAGACTGAAAAGTTAGGAGGGAAATGATCTGTGTAAGGAACACAGAACTTAAGGGGCAAAAGCTGGGGAAAAAGAACTCAATGCCCCATGATATGTGTGAAGGAAATGCAAAGTAGAATCTTTGGTCACGTTGAAAAATCAAAATTAGAACAGCTAATCAAGTGAGATAGTGTAAGACTAGCTCAAGAGTTAATCACAAAATTTTTCATTGCTCATATTACAAATTAAACTTGTTTTTAGAAGTACATATGTGATCAACAGCAAAGAGAGGTGAGCAACTGGAAACAAGGTAGTGGAGTAAGGGGAAGTTGTCCAGTTAGCTTCAAAGGGTGGCTCAGTTGCTGTAGTCCTGTGTTTTTTTCAATCTGCAGGTCGCAGTCCATTAGTTGGTCATGAAATCAATTGAGAGAATCACAACCAACCTTTTAAAAAAGGAAACATATATGTAAATATATGTGAACCTGTCTATCTATATCACTTAGTGTTGTTTCATGAAACTTCTAGTTACTATCAGATATAAATATATAAACACATGTTCTGGCTCAGATTGCAAATGAGCCCCAGCCCCAGTCAAAAAAAGTTTGCAGCCACTGCTGTATTCTTCCCCATTGGGGAGTTAGGCTTGGAGTCGATAGGCCAGAGGATCCAAAATGGAGTTTAACCAAGAATTTCAATAAAATTGAAATTGTTACTGTGAAGATTATATAACAGTTTATTACTTTGAGAGGCCACATGTGCCATATTTGTGACATTTCTGTATCAAATAAGAGTTCGTGAATGTGGGTAAGGATTTCTGCACAGTTGTTCTAATATTTAATGCTACATAAATGGTTTAGGTCAGCAGTTCTCAACTTTTTAGTCTCAAGACCCCTTTACACTCTTAAAAATTATTGAGGACTCCTTCAAAGAACTTTTGTTTATGTGAGTTATAGCTATATTTACCCCACTGGGATTTAAAAGTGGTAAAGACTACTTATTCATTCATTTAAAATATAATAATAAAGCTATTAAATTTAAAATAAATAACATTTTTATGAAAAATAATTTTTTCCAAAGCAAAAAAAAAATTTAGTGAGAAAAGTAGCATTATTTTGCATTTTTGCAGTATCTTTAATTTCTGGCTTAATAGAAGACAACTAGATTCTCATAGCTGTTTCTGCCTATAATCTGTTGCTATTTGTGTTTTTTTTTTGAAGTATCCCTATATGAAGACACTCTGGCCTCACACAGATAATGTAGTTGGAAAAAGGATGGGTATTTTAATAGCCTTTTTGGACAATTTTGGATATTCTTCTTGGATAACAGATCGAAACTTGACAAGTGGTAGTTTCTCAAAGGTTAGTTGCAATGTGCTATCTGAAATCCTATTAACTTTTCATATTCTGTTACATTAAAATCCATTTAATCTACCTTGTCCTTGAATGGATCTTTTACTTATGCATGATTATGTATCATCAGACATTGGTCATTCGGAAAATATTGGGTCACGGAGTTAAGCAGATCTTTCCGACGTTAACACTTTTCAGTACACAATATTTTAAAAAATTGCATTCAATACCACCATTGATATCATCAGAAAAGACTTTAGGTATTGAGAAGCAGTCAAGCTCATAGCAGCAGATACACATTTTCTAAATGGCTAATTCCAGCTTGAAGGCACAGAAATTATCACTGGCAATAATAATTGTCCCTTGTTTTCCTGGAAGTGACAGGTATACTTTACTTATTTTTGAAAAAATATCTGTCAAATACCTGTTTGAATAACCATAATTTGCCCATCTTTCTTTCAAGTAAAAACAGTGCTTCGTGAAAATAAAAATAAAAACACCAACTCAGCTCACAACACAAGCGCAGAAGTATTTTCCCGGAGACAAATAGGGCACTTGGGTATGCAGCGCACGTGCTTTGTGCATACTTTTTTTCCCCACACGGAACAGTAAAAAGAAATGTACCCAAGGATTAAACTTTAATAAAACTAATCATTGTTACTGCTTTATCAAGAACACTCTCAATTGACACTACTGTGACTTCCTCCTTAACTGACAACGCGGGCCGTAAAGCGGACATTGACCACCAGCGCAGCTTGGTGCCCCGGCCTCGATTCCTCTTAAGCCACCAGCGCTTTTAACCACCACTGTTTGCAAACGTCATCACAGTGAACAAGTCAAAGTGAGTCCTAGCATTGTCATGAAAATTGTTTTGACCTTGCAGATTCCCGGAAAGAGTCTCAGAAACCCCCAAGGGGTTCGAGGACCACACTCGGAGAACCACTGGGTGTTAACGCTCTCAGAAATCACAGTTCTCTTTCTCTACACAGTTACTGATGCTTTTTGATCACTGACGCGCCAAGGAAAAGACATGCCAAGACGTCGAACACATCCAAGAGGGAAATCCTACCGCGCGCATAGCTCTAAGGCTCAAGCAGGAAGAAAACTCTTAGAGAAAAAAAGGGATTCAGGGGGCAGGCCTGGGCTTGTCGTTGCCAGTGGCAACGATCCTCAGCGGTGGGAACGCGGCCGTCGATTAGTGATGCCTTGCATCCGTCGGCGGGAAAAGGAGGACGGGGCGGGGCGGCTGGAACCGGAAGGCCTCCCTGAGTTGTGGTCACGGTGGGTTGTCGGTCGAGAGGTGGCTCGCTCGTTCTGCGATCCATTGGGAGTGCCTTCCGAGAGCCTGTGTTGATGTCCGGGAGGGAGGGAAGATGGCTGCTGTGGCGGCAGGCGGCCTGGTGGGGAAGGGGCGCGACATCAGCCTGGCGGCTCTGCAGCGCCACGACCCCTACATCAACCGCATCGTGGACGTGGCCAGCCAGGTGGCTCTGTACACCTTCGGCCATCGGGCCAACGAGTGGGTGCGTGCGGACGCGACGGGGTCGGCCAGACCGGGGCTGGGGTGGAGAGAGGGGTCGTCAGACTCCGGCTGGAGAACCCAGTGCGGGGGAGGGGAGCCCATGCCCTGTAGGTGGGTGGATCGGGGCCTGCGGCCGAAGGTGTGGAGATTGGACCCGGGTGTTCTGGGGGGAGGCCGATCTGTGCAGCCACCTGGAGTTGGGGAAGACTAAGATACCCCGCGCTGGGAGCCCAGACCGAACGGGTACGGGACCCCGAGATCTGAACGAAAGAAAGGCCCGGATGCCTTGAGGCCGGAAGACTTAATGTGTTCCGAGAAAATAAAGCCGAGTTCTGTTACAGTAAAACAGCGGCTCTAGAGGAGGCAGGCATAGGAGACGAATGAAAGTGGAGAGTTCTGGTTCTGGACCTCCAGTCTTAGATGGGACTAAGAGAAATCAAACCTGATAGGAGACAAATCTGAAGTTGTAAGCTCAGGGAAAACACCAAGAAAAGAGCCAACACTGAGAAATAAAAGACAAAATGGAGCTGAGTGTAACGCCCACCAAGTTTGATACTGGAGTTCATTTGAGAGCCGAGTTATTTTAGTGCTCTTTTCAAAGCAGAGTCCCAGTAAATACTAACGGAATGAAATTTGATTTTCTTCACAATTAGAATGGGGTAGGAACAGAGGACACTTGAGGAGTCCTGTTGCAGGAATTGCTACATGTAATTTTGTAACCCACCTACTTGAATGTAGAGAGATGTAATTTTTTCTTTCCTCATAGTCATTTTTGTCCCAAATAGTGTTCATCTGTCTAATTTGTGTCATATTATTTCATATGATATCTGTCCATTGTTTTTAAATAAGTTGCAAAACAGTGAAAGAAATTAACCTACATGAGTGGATTTCAGAATTTTTTATGTGTTCTCCAAATCCATGATAAACATCATAACTTAAAGAAAACACCTATATTAAATAAATCCATACATTTTTTAACATCTGCATTAAAGCATAAGCCTCCTGATCTCCAGTATGGATTTTCAGCAGCCTGTAGTAAAAACTCACCTGAAAATCATTAACACAGAAACACAAAGATAAAGAAGCAAAGATGGGATAGAAGAGAAGAGTTTTGCCCTAAGTTCTTAACTGAGGAAATTTACTGAAATGGGGCAAAGAATTTAGGTCTGCTCTCCTAGTAGCCAAACCCAAAAGAAAAACAGGAAGAGCTCTTTAATATTTATCGTTCTGTAATAGGAAGTGTATCACTTGATCAGGAGAGAGATTATTTTCCCCTAGTTTTCGGAGGCAATTTATCACCTGGGTTCTTACATGAAGAACATTGAGCAACATAGTGGACAATTTCCTCCGTGGTATTTAAATGTTATATATATATATAAAGACATTCTACATATGGCTGTTTTATTGCTCTATAGAAAAATGCCAAAGGTATAATGTCATAATTCTGTAAAAGTAATTCTGTAGTAGATAAGGACCAGAGATATAAACTGACTTGACAAGAGGATTAGCATCTCGAGAATCCTGAGAAATTGTTAATATACAGACTAGAGCATTTCTCTTGAATAACAATTGTTTCCTATAGGCTTTGACAGTTATATATGTGATAGACACCCTTTAAAATGGTTACAGAGGTTTACTAGATATCCAGTGAAGCCCATCAACAAAAGCCTTATCAAGAAGCAGAAGTGTCACAATGCATTATTTACAGGAGTTATGTTTTCCCGCTTCCTGGACTTGTTGCCTTCAGACAGGACATAATTCATTCAGGAAAAGGTCATTCTTTCAAAGTACTAATCTTCAAGGCTGAGGTAGCCAGAAAAAGAGAGAGAGAGACCTAGTTAGCTGCAGAGCAGTTGCTGGAGGCAAAGGAATTGTCACCACTGTCTCCATACCCAGGCTCTCTAGATGGGAGCCATTTGAAAGTAAACCTAACAAAAGTATAAAGAACATAAAATGTTCTTTATAACAAATGTTCTTTATGAAGAAGGAGGAGGTATTTGCAAGAAGGCAGGTGAGATGTCAAAGAGGGGGATTCTTATTACACTGAAAATAGATGAAGAAGGACTTCAGGCATTCAAAGGAGGAGAAATTAGAAATGAAAGGTGGACAGAGAATGGACTGCTTTAAAGAAGGATTAGGGAAGATTATGTCATGACTGGAATAGGAATTCCCCATTGCCAGGATCTTAAGACCGCTCCCTGCCAATATCTACGTGTCACTTGAAGACTATGCCCTTGGTATGATTTTCCACCTCTCAGTCTTTAGAGCAGTGGCTCTCAGCTGGAGTTGATTTTGGCCTCATGTGACATTTGGCAGTGTCTGGAAACATTTTTAGTTGTCACACTGGGGAGGGTGTTACTGGCATCTACAGTAAAGTAGAGGCTAAGGTTGTTGCCAAACATCCCACAATACACAGGACAGACTCCACAACCAAGATTTATCTGGCCCCAGATGTCAAACATGCTGAGCTTGGGAAACTGCCTTAAAGTGACTAGTTCTTGTGTTTCTAACTGGTAGTTTTCTAAGTTTTCTATCTATCAGAATAACTCAAGAGTTTTAAAAAGTACAAACTGCCACATCAAAACCTCTGGATAATGAAGCCTAGACATTTGATCCTGTTGGAAGCTTCAGAGACACAGATTTGGAAGGATAAATTGAGACTTATTTTTGATTATTTTAACTTAGAATAATCAGTAAAATAGAGATTGCTTTGAGTTATTTCAAAAGTGTCAAACTGCTTAGTCCCAGTAATTCGCAAAACAGTACGATTTTATATTCCATTTTGTTATTTTGAATTTTGAGCTTATTTCTTTAGCACTTGTTAGATTTTAATTAAGTATAATATTAAATCATTAAAATGTACTTTTAAAATTTAAGCTAAAATGCCTCAAGGTTGTGAACTAATTTTTTTTTTTTTGAGACAGAGTCTCACTGTGTTGCCCAAGCTAGAGTGCCATGGCGTCATCCTAGCTCACAGCAACCTCAAACTCCTGGGCTCAAGCAATCCTTCTGCCTCAGCCTCCCGAGTAGCTGGGACTACAGGCATGTACCACCATGCCCGGCTAATTTTTTTCTATGTATTTTTAGTTGTCCAATTAATTTCTTTCTATTTTTAGTAGAGACGGGGTCTCGCTCTTGCTCAGGCTGGTTTTGAACTCCTGAGCTCAAACAATCCGCCCGCCTCGGCCTCCCAGAGAGCTAGGATTACAGGCATGAGCCACCGCGCCTGGCCGGGAACTAATATTTTAACATAAAAGCCATGCTTACTTGGAGGATCTAAGGAAGATCTAATAAGAGCTTGTTTTAGGCCAGAGTGGTGGCTCATGCCTGTAATCCTACCACTTTGGGAGGCTGAGGCGGGAGGATCGTTTGAGGTCAGTAGTTCAAGAGTGGCCTGAGCAAGAGAGAGATTCCATCTCTACAAGAAATAGAAAAATTAGCCACTCGTGGTGGCATGCACCTGTAGTCCCAGCTTCTCGGGAGACTGAGGCAGGAGGATCACTTGAGCCCAGGAATTTGAGGTTGCAGTGAGCCATGATCATGTCATTGTACTCCATAGCCTGGGCCAAGTGAGACCCTGTCTCAAAAAAAAAAAAATCTTGTTTTAATTATTCCCTACACTCCCTACCCTGGACTTTGCTCAGAAATTAGAAAAAAAAATCTGATTACCCTTGGATAACTGTGGAGGGACTAGGAAAACGCATGAATTTGAGCTGGTTCAGCCATTGTGAACAAATTTATGTTTTCAAAGCCTGTTTTATCCAAGTATCATAGAACACTTAAAAATATGATTTTTTCATCAGAAAATCTGAGTGGTGTAGACTAGTTATCTCTTTTCATTGGGGAAACTGAGACAGAATAATAAACTAATTAGCCCAGTATGATCTAGCAAGAAGCCCACTCCATGTCCCATATGATAATTACCGAAACACAGTTTCTTTCTTGGAACAAGCTAGTATTTTTTTGTGTGTAATGTTAGATAAAAATCTCAGTTTTAAGAATTGCTTGTTATGAGTTAGAATATAATTCTAGAAGAAGCATGCCTTATACATTTCTGATTCTGGATTTTTCAAAACTAACATATGGCATAAAAGGACTTTTTTTTTTTTTTTTTAAGAAAAGGGAATTTCTGTTACATCAAGGACCACATGTCATAAGCTATTTAGCTGTATGTGCATCGATACATACAAGTATCCTGACTTGGATTGCTAAGATAAAGCAGTCCAAGGTCGAATATTAGAAGACAGGAAAGTGTTTTGACCTTGTGGCGAGACTGACACTGCACAGAGGTCCTCCAGGGGCCTAGTCCCGTCACCTGTATCTTGGCCTCAGTTTCCTATCCATGTAACGGATAATGCCAAATATTTCGTTTTTACAAATTTATTCTTAAAGGCTTGTGGACTCATAAATACTTGCTGATTGCACCAGTTAAACTTTAAGGACACCCACCCACAAGTTCTTAGGCTGGGTAGCATTTATTGTAGCATAGTAACCATTTTCTTAGTGATTGATACTGTGGTGGTTTGAGTTTAAGTAATTCTTAGTGCCTAGAGTGCACCCAGGATATAATAGGTTTCTCATCAGGTAGGAATTAACCATGTTTGTTCACAAAGAAAGATAAGAAGTAATGTTTCTGTATATGTTTTTTTCATTTTGCCTCAGAATATTTTTCAAAGTACAGTGGCAGATGGGCCACATTTCAAAAATAAGGGCCCTTTTCACAGTACATTGGAGTGATTTATACAAACTTCATGGTAAATCCAGTTTAAGCATGAACTCCTTGACTTTCTTAACTGTGCTTATGTGTCAGAGAAAAGACTGGCTAACACTGTTTTAACTGTTATAAATTCTTTATTTCTGTAATAAACATCTTGAGGTTAAATTTTTGTTAATAAGTAATGATGTTTTTTGTAGCCATTTACTCTTAAAAAACAATGTTTGCTGATAGTTTGTTACGATTTGTGCCGTAATGGATTTTGGTTTTATGACTCCTAGTATAATTTCCTGGGCAGAGAATACGTTACTGAACTAAGGCAGTGGTTCTCAAACTAGCACACGTCAGAATCACCTGGACCGCTTAGTGAAAAACAGGTTGCTGGGCACCACCCTCAAGTTTCTCATTCAGTAGGTTTGGGCAGGGGCCCCAAGAATTTGCATTTCTAAGTTCCAGGCCATGCTGATACTGCTGCTCTGGAGACCCCACTGTGAGATCCACTGAACTAAAGTGAGCAAGGAAATTGCTGACATTACTTGAGCGTGTGAAAGGATTATACCTTTAATTTTTTGTGTGACTTTGAAAAGTTATTTTAATGTTACACCTTTTTTCTTAAAGACTATTTTTCACCAAAATTAGAGTACTTAAATTTTGAATGATTATGGTAATAGGTATTAATGATAAAATATTGGGAGTTTAAATAGAATGCTGAAATTAAACCATGTAAATAACAAAAGTACATTTTAAATTCTGAATTATAACAGTCTGATATGGAAACCTATATATGTATTAGTGTGCATGATATTGATGAATGTTATCCTCAGTGCCTGTGTTCCTGCCTTTGGAGAAAGGGAAAAGCAATGCCAAATGAACTAACTGAACTATCATTTTAAGGTTGCTACCTCCCCCAGATTTTCTCAGGCAAACTTCTTGAATCCTAACTTGGTAATGTTTCTGTCTAACATTATTTCAGAGATCTTGGGGCAGAACTTGACTCTAAATATTCCACACCGAGTAGGTGATGGATCCATCCGAGAACTCTGTGGCATTGTTGTCCTCTCTGTCTAGCAGTCAAAGTAGAGTTACAGGCAGGTCATCTGCTTTCCTGAGTGACAGGATGTGGCAAGAGAAAATGAACCCCCAGAATAAAGTGAAGGATAATGAAACGCAGACACAAGTGATGTCACGGCTTGCCACGCACCCAGTTTGGTGGACAGAGGACAAGGCGGCACACTGACCGCCCTCCCTTCTTCCTCATGGCATCCGTAGTTTTCTCATTGTTCCAGCTAGAGGTGTGTGGCTATCCCTGTGTTTGGTAAAGAGAGATAATGATGGTTTACTTTGTAAATGACAGAAGAAAGACTGCTTCCTGCTGCTTAATCAGCGGAGCCACAGTTACGGCCAAGAACCTGCTTTCTCCTTTTCCTAAGAATAACTCTCATGTTGCGTATATTTGGCCCATGGCAGTTTCACCTGTTTGAAGTCGGGTATGATGAGTATTCTATCAGAAGTTTGTGTTCTCTACCTCTGTGAATGAGGAGAACATACATATGTTATGTTTTTTGTTTTTATGTTTTAGGAGAAGACTGACGTGGAAGGAACCTTGTTCGTTTATACAAGGTAAGAGTATTTTATAAAGAAACTGACAGTCTTTGAAATAATATTTTAGCTCAGTTGTGTCTCTCTTCTTCAAGTGCAGTTTTATTTCAAAGAGAAGTAAAAGAACTAAATCGTGATTTGAAATTATTAGTTAACACAAGGAAGGGAGTGCTGAATAATGTCACTTGGTATGTTCTCATGAATACTAATTTCAGTATATAGTTTAAGCTTCAATGTAGATGCACTTAAATCTTTGTGCTCTGTTTAAAATGGTATTAAACAGTTATCCTTTGATTCAAATGAATGGTACAGAGTTCTTGAATATAATGTATTGGCAAGGAGCTAGAACACTATGAAGAATATTATAATATTTAATCAATAATTGGAAAAGAGTTTTATTGATCGCCTTTCCCCCCTCCTTGACTGTTTAAAAAAACATGATCCAAAATTGAAGATATCTTTTAGTCCTGCATTGCCTAGTTAATAGAAGATGTTTTAGGATAGATTTAATAAACTCATGTTTTTAGTCATTTTTCTTATCAGATACTGTTAACATCACAAGTACATGTAGCGAAATATGTATATTGGCTCAATATCTAAACTTACTATTCACATAAAATGCCATAGCTAACGCCCATCACCTGCAATGGGGTGCAAAGATGAAATACAAAGGCCTAATACAAATCCTTTTAGGGGTACAATTTCATTGGGGAGACAGGAAATACACACACACACACACACACACACATATATATTTTCTTTACACATATATTCACATTTAAATAAACTGTAACTCAGGATAGACCATCCCCAGTGCTGAGCCGTGAATGGGCTGCTGTGATTGTGGACGCCTTTGTAGAACGAGGGGTCTTGAGCTGGGCCTCAGGAATAGGTAGAACTTACCTTGCACAGAGGAGAGGGAAGGCAGTCCCAGCAGGAAGAACGGTGGAGCAGAGGCACAGAACCTCCTGTGATACAGGGACAGTAAGGAAAACGACTCTGGAACGGAGTATTTATATTGGTTTATATTAGTTAACAAGGGCAAAGAGGTTCGCTGGCTTGCAATGGCAGACTAGGGATTCTGAGATTCATTTTCTTAGCAGTAGGGAGCCATTGACGGCTTGTGAACAGGAGAGGGATAGTGTTACGAGAAGATGTAGGGGAAAATCAGTGTATTAACGTCATGCGGATGCATGGGTTCCGGAAGACACGGAAAGGTGACTGCGGTGGAGCAGATGCCGACGTGCGAGAGTTTGGACTTGAACGACAGAGGCGGAAATGGAAAGGGCACGGAAGGACGGCAGTGGAGAGGAGCGGCGACGTTAAAAATAACATTAGTATCTTGAATATGGGAGACTGACAGAAGGACAGAAGCACCGATGGATGAGAAAGACGAGAAAGGAGGCCAAGGCGCGAGCTTGAGGGCAGGTCTCCGTCTTGCGTTGAAGAAACGGCAGTGCAATATGGAGATACCGTAAAGAGCTACAAGTAGAAGTACCATTTGACCCAGCAATCCCATTACCGGGCATCTACCGAAAAGAGCAGAAGTGGCTCTATGAAAAAGACACCTGCACCCGAATGTTCATAGCAGCACAATTCACAACTGCAAAGATGTGGAAACAACCCAAGTGTCCATCAGTACATGAGTGGATTAATAAACTGTGGTATATGTATACCATGGAGTACTATTCAGCTATAAGAAACAATGGTGATATAGCACCTCTTATATACTCCTGGAAAGCGCTGGAACGCATTCTACTAAGCGAGGTATCCCAAGAATGGAAAAACAAGCACCACATGTACTCACCATCAAACTGGTATCAGCTGATCAACGTCTAAGTGCACACATAAGAATAACATGTATTGGATGTTGGGCAGGGGGAGGGGGGCGGAGGGGACGGGCATTTGCACAAACAACGAGTGCGATGCGCACCTCCGGGGGAATGGGCACACTTGAAGCTCGGACTTGGCGGGGAGGGAGGGTAAGGGCATCATACGTAACCTAATCCTCTGTACCCCCATAACATGCTGAAATAAAAAAAATAAAAAAAAAAGAAACGGCGGTGGAGGGCAGGCGGTGGAGGGCCGCGGCACGCAGGCGCAGCTGCCCGGCGGCGGAGCGTTCGGAGGAATTTCGCAGTTGAAAGCGCGAGAGAACGCGTTCTCTGAAGGAGCGGCGTAAAGAGCAAACTGATACCGGCTAGCAGTTGGGTTTCGGGCCCTCAAGGATGCAGCGACTAGTCAGCTGGGAAGGGAAACGCAGGCCTAGAGCAGCATAAAGAGGCCCGTTGTGGGCGCAGGAGAACCAGGGAGGTTAGCGGCGGGGAGGAGGTTCTGTCCCAGCGGAGGCAGCAGGGAAACCGGAAGCGAGCAATGGATGGTGAGGCCAGGGCCTTGGTGACAAGGAGGTCGGATTCTCCCCGGTCTCAGAAAGCAGCGGGAGCGCCAAGAACCACTGGTGTGGGTCTGCGTTATCCTCCCAAACATCCCAAGCACCAGAGCGCGGCCCGAGGGAGTGACTCAGCAGAGTGACCGCTCCTGAGCGTTCTGAAGTGTAAAAAGAAAACCAAACGGTTGAGCTCTTCTGTGCGCCAAGCACACAGGATGCATTCTCACTCATTTCTCACAACAAGCATTGTTCTTCTCTTGAGAAGGGAAAGAAAAGATGTATTAATATGTATTAATGATTGTTTGGGGGAATTTTTGGTGTTGTTTTTTTTTTAAATATGGAAGAGTAACAATTATACAAATATTTTCTCTTTTGTACCCAAACCAAATGTAGGTTTTTATTTTCAAGTATTTCTTAATACCCACCAAGCCGCTAATGGAGCTGTCAATGAAACAAACCATTAAATTGAGAAAAAAAATCCATCCCTGTTTCTTAATCTCTTCCCCAAATCTAACTCCTCAAGAATGGGATGCCTCCCTCTTCTCCTGCAAAAAATACGCCACCAGGTTCTAGTATGTTGAGGTCTTTCCTCAGAAGAGAATGACAGAAAGCACATAAAAATCAAAAGGGAGTTTTGGTAATGGAGCTGCCAGTGATACGTGTTCACTTCTATAGAGGTTGCTTTAGAGCAATTGGCACATTTATCCCTGGGCCTGTTTTATAAATTATGAGATGGTATAGCACCCATTCTATTAAAGACGTGAGACCCTGTCGTGATAATGAAATACATGAAGAATCAAATCCTGCTTCTTGCATAAAAACACTCAATCCCATTTAAAAAATCATTTCTTTACTTTATTTCCTATGTCTTTCTGTAATAAAGAGTTCGTAGAGACACCCACTGGTGATTTCTGAACTTGACACTTAAGAGGACCCTCAAACAGAGCTCTTCAGGAGTACGTTTTCATTCTTCCTCTGAATTTAAGTTGAAATGATTATCATGATTATTTCTGGTGTTTATCATATGCCTACTGCCACTTTACCTCCTTGTAAAATAAGCCCGGCAAAGATTGCCTTCCATCAATGTTGAAATTGGAGGTTTCAAAAGAAAATCCTGGCCGGGCGCGGTGGCTCACACCTGTAATCCTAGCTCTCTGGGAGGCCGAGGCAGGCGGATTGTTTGAGCTCAGGAGTTCGAAACCAGCCTGAGCAAGAGCGAGACCCCGTCTCTACTAAAATTAGAAAGAAATTAATCGGACAACTAAAAATATATAGAAATTAACAAGGGCAAAGAGGTTCGCTGGCTTGCAATGGCAGACTAGGGATTCTGAGATTCATTTTCTTAGCAGTAGGGAGCCATTGACGGCTTGTGAACAGGAGAGGGATAGTGTTACGAGAAGATGTAGGGGAAAATCAGTGTATTAACGTCATGCGGATGCATGGGTTCCGGAAGACACGGAAAGGTGACTGCGGTGGAGCAGATGCCGACGTGCGAGAGTTTGGACTTGAACGACAGAGGCGGAAATGGAAAGGGCACGGAAGGACGGCAGTGGAGAGGAGCGGCGACGTTAAAAATAACATTAGTATCTTGAATATGGGAGACTGACAGAAGGACAGAAGCACCGATGGATGAGAAAGAC